TTTTCAACCAATAATTTATTGAGTTGACCTTAGTTGATGGAAGCAAAATTTTAATGGTTTGTTAACATGTCCCCACTCTACACCCCTACAAAGTTTTATCAGAATACATTCAAAACCTTTTTGAGCTAATGTGTTTACAGACAGACTGATAATACACAAAAGCTCTACTGAGAAAAATAACCTCATTGGTGAAGGTAAAAACCAAGAGAAAAACTCACAGCTATGTTTAAGAGTCAGGGTAAAAGCATTTCCACACACAAAAAGTGTAACGCAAAATCAAGCGATTCTGACTAAATGGCTGTGTAGCTTTTAAGAAAACCACGTATGACTGGGGGACCTTCAGTTTGCAAATGAGAAGAGAGGTTGGACTCTGGAGCAATGGGCAAGGCCCATGTGGTCCGAACTGGATTGAACCAAACAGGTATGACAGGGTAAGAAGATAGGTGGGTGAAGTGATTGGTGCCTGCTGTAAAAGTCCGTGGGGGCAGTGTGGTGATCTGGGGTTGCTTCAGTTGGTCAGTTTCAGCAACATTGTGTGTCCAAAAGTAAAGACTGAATGACCAGGCTTTTCCATCAATGGCATATTTTCTTCTACATACTTAAAAATGGAAACAATTTATTTGGCTCAAATTGTAGAACAGTGGTTGAGGGAGCATGGGACATTGTTTGCCCTGGATTGGCCACAACAGAGTCCAGACTTTCAGGATGTGCTGGAGAACACTTTAATCCCATCATCAATGGAAGCTCTTTACAAAAAAAGGAATGTAACTCTGAATGGAAATAAATGTTGTGGTGTTGCACAAGCTTATCAGAGCTTAAGATAGTCCAACAAAACGTGACTTTTGTTTTTGGTTGAGCTTTGTAATTGTCAGTATGTGCAGGTCACCTCAATGATGGTGTACATTTTAGGACCTACAACAGCTTCCAGAAAACTTGACCAAGATAAACATGCTGGTGTAATTCAGTTTGTTGAATAAGGACCTGTTGGATATAAGCAGAATTTAAACTCTTTTTGTTTGTTTGTTTTTAGCGGCACAGTCTGCCGTCTTGAGCCGAACTATCAGCAAAATATTGAAAAAAGAAAAACCAGATAAGAAGGTAAGTGTGACAGCTATGATTCATATGTTTAATTGGTAAATATGGTAAAGCTGCTTCTTAGGAAATACGTCTACTGAAAAACACACAAACTGATAATCTGTCCTTTTCTTGTTTATTTAGTATGATGGGTATACTTCATGTCCCTTGGTCACAAGCTACAACACAGTAATCCTGGCAGAGTTCGACTACAACGGACAACCGCTGGAAACATTCCCCTTCAACCAAGCCAAGGAGAGGCGATTAATGTACTTCATGAAAGCAGATGTGATGCCTCACCTCTATTGGCATGGCCTTCTTAGGTATGTTTACAGTTAATTAACAGCAGTTAATTAGCAGCAGTTAAGCCGCTACAACAACAGCTTTGTCTTTATTTGTCTCACGACAGGGGGCTGTGGGGCGGACCGGGACCTTACAGGAAAATCATGCATCTTGGGATGAAATGAAACCTCATCTTCAGTTTGAATCTGAAAGGAAATTCATTGTGTAATCATCTACCCAAGGGTGGACACGCATATGGATAAAGGAGTAATGTGAATGTTTTGAACATCATGATTAATCGGTCTCACAGAAAAGCTCATTTAAGTAGCGTTTTTGATATTACTGTGGAATTAAACGACTGGAGTGATGGAGTGGGTCTAAACTGCTCATAGATCAGCTGGGTTTTTTTTTTTTGTTTTTTTTTTTGCTAGCTTCATTGTATTAAAACAAAAAAAAATATCCTATAATCATTAAAATGACTGAAGCTTATGAAACCTCACGTCAGACTGTTATTGCAGGATAATATGAAACAACAAATGAATTGTTTTGTTATTGCATTAATTATTACTTCATAAAATTACAATATTGGACTTTAATGAGCAGCTTTGATTTGAAATGGTTAAATCTGAAAAGCGGTTTTCAGACATGGGAGGCCAAAATTTAATTGCACACATGTGTAAAATTGCCCGTATGTCCTCTGAAATAAGAATATGATAGGCTCTCAGATGAAGACACTTTTGCATAATCTGAATAATCTGTTTTACCTGATCACTATCAATAGACTTTGATGTGTACTTGTATAAAAGTTGGATTTAATTTGCAAAATCCAGAGACCTGGGTCACTGGATTCAAACAGACTACTCTTTATTCCTCTCTCTGCATGTTAAAGGTCATCAGCAGGACTACACTTCTTATTGCAAACTGGCAGAATATGTCTTCAGTTCGTGATCACCTTTCCAGCAGCAGTTTAATGTCAACGTTAAAAACATCAATAAATGTCGGAAACTTGCAGGGATATTTAAATGACTGTCTCGGATTTCATGAATGTCCAGAGTTTGGTTAAATGCCAAGTTTAATTCACTTTCATTTTTGCTTCTTTCCGACTTATTTGGGGTTTTTTTTTTTTTTTTTCCCCAACAAGAGATGATCTAAATTTGACTAAAAGCTGAGCCTGCTTTTAGTCAAATTATACAGTATAATGTAGAGAAGCTGTTTTTGTTTTGTTTTGGGATTTTGTTTTTGTTTTTTGCTTGCAAGATTTTTGAAAGTATTAAAACGTCTGAACCATCCTGGCCACTGTCCTACAAAAAATGCCAATTTGCAGTCCAAACGTTCAGATTCGGCTTAATTAATACAGGATTCTTGCAGTCACACAACAGCACCAGCAGGGATAAAGTGTGACGGAGAGCCCGGGTCCAGCTGCGCACATACTAAAGCCATTTTCCTGTTGACTGCGCTCGCCACGTTGGTTCACCTACGTGTGTGTCACATTCTTCTGCGCACCGCAACGTTATGTTTGTGATGAGGCGGGAAATGGCGTCCGCAGACATGGTCGATCTGTGACTAGCTACCGAGCGACGGACACAGCTGGCGGCAACAACCACGGCCCGATCTTTGTCCGTGGCCGCCACGGTCGTGGCCGAGAGCTGACAACGCTGCGGGACGTTTTGAAGAGCTTCCTAGATCATCGGTAAGCTTCGAACAACGTCAACATGTAAACAAAAAGGCTTGTCCCCCCGTGAAAGCCTGACTCCTGTTAGCTAGCAGCTAATGTTGGCTACCGAAGGGGGCGTAGTCTCAATTGCTAAAGATTGTTACGGGAGCGAACAAAATGACGCGTTAGCCACAGCGAAGTTTGCTTTAATTACCTTTATTTCACTGAAGGATTAAAGAGTAATTTCCATATTACCTATAGATATGCTGTCGGAAGACACACTAGAGGAGTTTTTTGAAGCGGAGGGAGTAATGTCACGAAATGGCTTTTGCTGCCTTTGGCGTTTTGTTAGCTTGCAAGCTAACTATAGTTTGGTTAACGTTAGCCACAGAACCCACTGACAGACAGCGCCTGTTTTATGCTAGCATTAACAACAGTTCTGTTAAGCCTACAGGTGTCAGTTCTGACTACGTAAAGTCGGCGGTGGGCCAAATAATGCGGGGCATCAGCGTCAGAGCGGTGTTGTCTGTGTAGTATTGATGCTAAATGTCAGCGGTTGGCTAACGTTAGCGGTAGCTGACGTCGTTGGCGTTAAGGCAGCCCGTCTGATGTTACATAACGACAGACAGCGGTGCTGTTTGCTGTCAGATCTCATTCAGCAACAACTGAGCAAACATATATAAACACAAAGCCTATCCTCTAAGCAGCAGCTAACCTCGGATAACCCGAAAGCTTCATATTTTTGCTAACTTCTGGTGTTTACCACCCACTCCGCTGACCGGTGCGGCTTACACGAATTTTTGTTTTCATAACTTTTCTTTCATTTATACCGGAGTCGAGTGGCCGTGACAGCTAAAAAAAAAGGTATGCGTTTCATATGAACTAATTTGATGAGCTTCCTTAACAGTTACTCAATTGTCTGCACACATTTTGACTAGATTGGTGGTGAAGTGTCCATAAATCGTGGGTTTTCGTTGCACAGCTTTAGCACGCCAATAAAAACGCACTTGACTGTATCTGCGGAGGGAGACAGAATGAGGATGTGAAAACTGTAAACATAAATAAATACAACTTTAGGAACTTGCTTCTTTGCTATAGTAAACTAGAACCACACACTGTCATGTCAACGTATGTGACCTGTATTTACACGTATTTCATAAAACAAGAATTTGCGTTAGAAACTGAGGGGAATTTAGAAGCTGCATCAGTGTTTTTCGTGCATTTTAAAAAAACAAAAGCAAACTGAAACACATTAAAGAGGTTTTTGGGTAGAGCTTAAAAAAGATGGTTAGCTTTATGGTGGGGTTTTTTTTTTTTTAGTATTATTTTGTTTATAAAATAAGCAAGAAAGAACATGAAGTAACTCAGTCTTAGCCCTTGCTGTACTTGCATAGTAACGCCCAAAGGCCTTTTTTTTTTTTTTTTTTTTAAGCCAGGAAAAATCCTGACACAGTTTGTCTGCCGAAGAGAGGAGTTGCTATATCCTGCTCAGCACAAGTCCTTG